TCAGAAGAGCTATTCTTCTAAATGACAGTTGTTCTTAAGTTACTTTATTACAGAGGGGCTGGGATCTGCGCCTGAGAAACAAATTCACTGTAACTCAAACCTCCATTTAACACTCTAAACCGGACTTTGGAATCCACTACAAGTGTACTATCCCGTAAGGTAGCCATTAGCTGCATGCAACTACTACACCTGAAGTGTGGTTAATAATTTGGATATACTGAGTTAAACATATCAGTAGAACTAATCTCTTTCTTTTTATTGTTGCTACTGAAAAACTCTAAATTATATTTGGTTTCAATTATCTTTCTATTGGCCCGCACTGCATTAGATTTTCAGATTGTGCCTTTGAGGATGGAGATAGCTTAGATGGTGCAGGGAAGTTCAAGAGTCTCTTGACCAGGGGCTCTAAAAAGAATCCACAAAAAAAAAAAAAAAAAAAGAATCCACAAATCCCAGGATATATATTACCACATCATGAGATTCTGTCGATATTCACTTCACAATCATATCTCTGTAAATCTGGGGACGGGCTACTCAGCTAAGAGCTTCAAAGGTTGCAACTCTTGGTTTGGGGCAAAAAGGATGCTGGGAAGAGCAAGAGGTGGGGAGTAAAATCTACTTGTATTTACATCCAACCTCTCCCACCTACCAGCTTGTGTCCTGGGGTGTATCATTCGGCCTCCAGTAAATTCCTTTCACTTTTTAAAATGGCCTAATTATAAGGGCAACTGTGAGGCTTAAATGAAATACCAAAGAAAACAAAGTGTCTTGTGATAGCAACTTACACACCCATTATTACAAGCACTTGACAAAAAGCTTTGCAGATGACACCTTATTTCTCAGAGTAATTCCACAAGCTACTGTTCGTAGCCTCATGTTCATCGAAAACATTATAAAGGTGGATTCCCTTGCCACTGCCCACAGTCCCCTCACTCGGCGCCCGCAAAGGACACCTTCTCCAGATAGGGGAGGCAGCCCCACTTGCGCCACCGGAAGCAGGCGGGAGCAGACGCCGCAAGCACACAGGGGCTGGGGGAGGGGAGGACCCGCTGGGAAATTCCCGGGAACACTGCACACAAACCTACCGGATCTGGCAGGGCCCCAGGCCTCCCGGAGCCGTGTCCCCAGTGCTCTCACCCCCACTGCAAAGCCTCTGCTCCCGCAGATACCCAAAGAAGCCGAGTTCGTGTCCTTTTTCAACCACAGAAGGCGGGCGGAAAACAGGCCAAGGCTGGATGTGCACTTGCGCAGAATGAGCCCCAAAACCCGTTCCCAGAGTGCTGCGCGGTAGGCGCATAACATTTAAGACTACATTTCCCATAAAACTTTGAGACCGCAGGAAGTAATTTTAGAAGCGTTTCCTCCTCAATTAGTGAGGTGAGACGTGACAATTGGATCTGACCTTTGGAAACTTTCCCTGAATCCCCAGGTATTGTGGATTAGACTTTAACTTTATGGCATGACAACATGTTGCAAAGCATGGTTCTCGATTGGATCCTAGTTCGAAAAAACCAACAGTTGCAAAAGACTACAATTGGAGAAAAAATAGAATTACCATTACTTTGGTTAGTGTGATTAATATTTGGAGGATGGAGGAAATTGTTCTTATTTTTAAAGATACATACAGAAATACCATGTGGAATTTGAGGGGCAGGACAGATGACCATAGGGGAAGGAGGAAAAAAAATAAGGGAGACGGGGCTGACCACAGGAGACTCTTGAGTGTGGAGAGCAGATTGGGAGTTGCTGAGGGGAGGGCGAGGTGGGCTGGAGATGGCCTGGATGGGTGATGGGTGTTAGGGAGGGCGCTTGATGTGATGAGCACTGGGTGTTGTGTGTGTGTGGGAGGGGGTGGGTGGGGGTGGGTGATGAGTTACTAGATTCTACTCCTCAAACCGGTATTGCACTATATGTTGACTGAAATTTAAATAAAAACTTAAAACATTAAAAAAAAATTCTATTATTAAATCATATATAATTTACTTTCTAAAATTCAGCATAACAATTAGAAAAAGAAAATATGGCTAAGTTAAGAATTGTTAAAAACTGTAATACGTATATGGTGTTCATTTTACTAGTATTCCGAACGTTTGACTTTATTTTTAATACATAGTAAAAATGGGAGCAACTGGTGGTGGTGGTGGTGGTGGTGGTGGTGGGAAGAGGGTTAGGAAGAGTTTACTGCCCTTCCAGAAGTATACCTTTTAAAATCAAGTTTCGTGGGTACACACATATCTCTTGTGAATACTGCTTGTGCAATATAACAAATACTAGAAAATGGAGCAAGCATTAGCAAAAGAGTCATATCTTGGTAGGATTTATCTGGGGAGTAGAGGTGGGGTAAGTTAGCTGCTCAAAATTACACAAGTAATATATGAAAATACATATAACCCAAAATAAGAAAATTATTATTATCAATTTTGAGTTCCACCAGTAAATTTTCTTTCAAAATTAATGCATGCACACCTCAGACGTTTTTAACAAATTTGAGACCTAAGGACACGAAAGGAAATTTCCGGTAGACTTTTTAAGAGTAGTTTTAGGCTTATAAAATAATTGAGCAGAAAGTAGAGTTCCTATATATCCCCTCTCATCATTCCACACACTGTACCCCCAATTATTAACATCTTACATTAGTGTAGCACATTTTCTACAATTAATGAATGATATAGTATTACTACCTAAAGTCCACAGTTGACATCAGTAGTCACTTTTTGTGTTGTACAGTTCTATGGGTTTTGCCAAATGAATAATGTCATCCACTGTAATACCCACTATTACATGATCATAGCAGTCTCATAGCCCTAAAACATAAAGAACAGTTTTACTGCCCTAAGAATCTGTACTGTGTCTACTCAACTTCTCCCCTCTGGATTTCCCCTCCTGAACTCCTGGCATCCATTTATCTTTTCATTGTCTCAATAGTTTTGCCTTTTCCAGAATGTCATATAGTTAAAATCATATAGTAAGTAGTCTTTTTAGACTGGCTTCTTTCAGTTAGAATATGCATTTAAGCTTTCTCCCAGTCTTTTTGTGGCTTAATACCTCATTTCTTTTTTATTGCTGAATAAAATTCCATTATTTGGATGAACACAGTTTGTTTATACACTCTTCTATTGAAAAGCATCTTGGTTGCTTTCAAGTGTTTACAATCACAAAATAAAATGTGTGTGTGTGTAGGCTCTGTATGTAACATAAGATTTGAAATCAATTGAGTAAATAGCAAGGAGAGCAATTGTTGGATTGTATAGTGGAAACCGTGTTTAAATTTATAAGAAACTGCCAAACTGTCTTCCAAAAGTGAATGTATCATTTTGCATTCTTATCAGCAATGACTGACAGTTTCCCTTGCTCCAAATCCTCACCAGCATTAGGTGTAGTTGGTGCACTGGATTTTGGCCATTCTCATAGGTGTGTAGTGGGATCTCATAATTTGCAATTCTGTAATAACGTGATGCTGGGCTTCTTTTCATATGCCTATTTGCCATAAGTATATCTTATTTTGTGAGGTATCTGTTCAACTCTTTCATCCATTTTTTATTGGGTTGTTCATTTTCTTTTTTCTTTTTTTTTTTTTAAAGATTTTATTTATTTATTTGAGAGAGAGAATGAGAGAGAAAGAGAGCATGAGAGGGGGGAGGGTCAGAGGGAGAACAGACTCCCCGCTGAGCAGGGAGCCTGATGCAGGACTCGATCCCGGGACTCCAGGATCATGACCTGAGCTGAAGGCAGTTGCTTAACCAACTGAGCCATTCAGGCGCCCAGGTTGTTCATTTTCTTATTGTTGAGTTTTAAGAGTTCTTGTTTATTTTAGATAAAACTCCTTTACTAGATATGACCTTTGCAATATTTTCTGTCAGTCTGTGGCTTGTCTTTTCATTCTCCTGACATTCTTTAACATAGCGGAAGTTTTTAATTTTAATGATACCAAACTGAATAATTTGTTCATTCATGGATTGTACTTTGATGTTATCTAAAAATTCATAACCAAACTCAAAGTCACCTAGATCTTCTTTCATGTTATAATATAGACGTTTTATATAAAGTTTTGCATTTTGTTTTTAGAATTATGATCCATTTTGAGTTGTTTGTGAGATGTGTAAGGTCTGTGTACGTGTGTGTATATATACACATATATAATGTATCTTGCATGTGGATGTCTAAATGTTCTATTGCCATTGTTGAAAAAACTATATTTTCTTCATTGAATTATCTTTGCTCCATGGTCAAGAATCAGTTGACAATATTTGTGTGAGTCTATTTCTGGGCTCTATATGCTATTCCATTAATTTTTTGGTTGATTCTTTCTCCAACACCACACTGGTTTGATCACTGTAGCGTTATAGCAATTTTTGGCATTAGATAGTGTCAGTCTTCTGACTTAGTTCTTCAATATTGGGTTGACTATTCTGGACATTTTGCATTTCCATATAAATTTTATTTTTTTATTTTTATTTTTATTTATTTTTATTTTATTATGTTGTATTAGTCACCATACAATACATCATGAGTTTTTGATGTAGTGATCCACGATCCATTGTTTTGGTATAACACCCAGTGCTCCATGCAATACATACCCTCCTTAATACCCATCACGGGGCTAACCCATCCCCCCACCCCCCTCCCCTCTAAAACCCTGTTTGTCTCTCAGAGCCCATAGTCTCTCATGGTTCATCTATCCCTCCAATTTCCCTCCCTTCATTTTTCCCTTCCTTCTCCTAATGTCCTCCATGCTATTCCTTATGTTCCACAAATAAGTGAAACCATATGATAATTGACTTTCTCTGCTTGACTTATTTCACTTAGCATAATCTCCAGTCCCATCCATGTTGATGTAAAAGTTGGGTATTCATCCTTTCTGATGGCTGAGTAGTGTTCCATTGTATATATGGACCACATCTTCTTTATCCATTCATCTGTTGAAGGGCATCTCGGCTCTTTCCACAGTTTGGCTATTGCAGACATTGCTGCTATGCACACTGGGGTGCATATGGCCCTTCTTTTCACTACATCTGTGTCTTTGTGGTAAGTACCCAGGAGTGCAAGTGCTGGGTCATAGGGTAGCTCTATTTTTAATATTTTGAGGAACCTCCACACTGTTTTCCAAAGTGGCTGTACCCACTTGCATTCCCACCAACAGTGTAAGAGGGTTCCCCTTTCTCCACAACCTCTACAACATTTGTTGTTTCTTTCCCTCTCCATTTTTGCCATTCTAACTAGTGTAAGGTGGTATCTCAATGTGGTTTTCATTTGAATTTCCCTGATGGCTAATGATGATGAACATTTTTTCATGTGTCTTTAGCCATTTATATGTCTTCTTCAGAGAAGTGTCTTTTCATATCTTCTGCCCAGTTTTTGACTTGATTATTTGTTTTTTCGGTGTTGAGTTTGAGAAGTAGTTTATAGATCTTGGATACCAGCCCTTTATCTGTAGTGTCATTTGCAAATATCTTCTTCCATTCTGTGGGTTGCCTCTTTGTTTTGTTGACTGTTTCCTTTGCTGTGCAGAAGCTTTTTATCTTGATGAAGTCCCAAAAGTTCATTTTTCCTTTTGTTTCACTAGCTTTTGGAGATGTATCTTGAAAGAAGTTGCTGTGGCCGATGTCAAAGAGGTTACTGCCTATGTTCTCCTCTAGGATTTTGATGAATTCCTGTCTCACATGGAGGTCTTTCACCCATTTTGAGTTTATCTTTGTGTATGGTGTTAGAGAATGGTCGAGTTTCACTCTTCTGCATGTGGCTGTCCAATTTACCCAGCACCATTTATTGAAGAGACTGTCTTTTTTCCATTGCATGTTTTTTCCTGCTTTGTCAAAGATTATTTGACCATAGAGTTGAGGGTCCATATCTGGGTTCTCTATTCTGTTCCATTGGTCTATATGTCTGTTTTTGTGCCAGGACCATGCCGTCTTGGTGATCACAGCTTTCTCATATAGCTTGAAATCGGGCAACGTGATGCCCCCAGCTTTGTTTTTCTTTTTCAACATTTCCTTGGCGATTCGGGGTCTTTTCTGATTCTATACAAATTTTAGGATTGTTTGTTCCATCACTTTGAAAAATGTCATTGGAATTTTGATCGGGATGGCATTGAAGGTATAGATTGCTCTGGGTAGCATAGACATTTTAACAATGTTTATTCTTCCAATCCATGAGGATGGAATGTTTTTCCATCTTTTTGTGTCTTCTTTAATTTCGTTCATGAGTGTTCTGTAGTTCCTAGAGTATAGATCCTTTACCA